GAAAAAACTAGGTAATTTGTCCAATACCACTCATTTAGCCAGCACATCCCGAAAATTAGTTATCAGGCAAGTTTTTAGCTGAATCGATTGAGCCACGTAAGTATAACTTTCGAGATGAAAGCTTCTGCTGACGAGCTGCTAACTGCATCAACCCATCAGCAAAGCCCAACTCTTCAACTGCATCCTACCGCCATAGTTACAGCGTCATAGCCCCTACCTCTCGCCCAAATATATATTCATCGGGAAGACAGCCACTGCGCCACTTCGCCGTTATATAACCAGGTCAGTTGGACCTCTGGGAGCAGGAATGCGCTCATCCGGCGCTGAGACTAGAGTCATGCAAGGACCATACCTCTATGTCAACGTCTATACAAGTACTTGCAGCAAAAGGATCTTTCTCTGGCGGATGCCATCATGGAGTTTGTCATAAGTACAAATGCAATCACTGTACCAATTTAGAATAAATTATATTATAAGCACAAAGAAATCTACCTACTCTTGGCAAATATAAAGCGGATTACAAACGATTGAACGCCCTCGAATCCCTACGCTAGATGAGCGAATAATTGCGACTCCTAAAAATGTAATTTTGACAGAAGCCTGTAACGCAAGATGCTTGCAAGTCGATGAAATATCCTTAAATTTCATTTGGCCCACTTATAAGCATTCCTATAAAAATATATATATATATACATAAGGCCATCACATGGATAATATTCCTTGAACAGGTTACAAGGGCTTCGCCTGGAATTTGTTAGTGGGATAGCTTCTTTGGAACTATTTTTTATGTGGTTGCCATAACTTGCCTGACCTTTAATTCTAAATTATGCCCATACAAAGTTATAGTAAATATGAAAGACTTGAAAGCGAATAGTTAACAGATAATGTAGCTAGAACAAAATATTTCTGCCGTCTGCTTTCAAGATCAACAAAACGATTTTTATTGGAAATCGACCTAAGGTAGTCTAATTTTATGTGTAAATAGCATGGCTAGTCCCGACTCTAGTTAAACAACAAAATATAAAATAAAATAAAATAAAGCAAATAGCGATATCTCACATTCGTACAATCAAGTAGGAAAAATGTCGGCCGAGCCTAAATGAGTGGCATAATTACTGCTTTATACAGATAAAAATTGCGAAATTTAGCGGCGATTCAAGAATATATAGTTGGGAACAAAGGATTCAATGAGTTCCAGGAAGTTGTCTGGATGAGTGAGAGATTAAGTCTAAATTCGTACTATTGGGAAGGGTGGGTATGCAAGTACGAGTGCGTTGCTATCACAGAGCTTGAATATATCCAGAAGAAACAACCACAAGCAGCATGCCCATCAGTTTAAGAGCCCGAACTGGAATGGTAGAGATGAATAATATCACACGAGCAAGTGACAATGGATATATTGTCCCAAGACCAAGAGGAAATTTAGCGTCATGGCACTCGCTAGTAAAAGAAACAGGTACAAACATTGAATTGTGCAGAATTAATGGGTGTATGGACATAGACACCATGAAATTAAAAAGGTAACAAAATTTGATGAAAAATTACCACTGCACACATTGAGAAGCGTTCCGATGTTAAAGCTAAGGGAGAAACAATGGAATGATATTACGAACCTCATAAATGGGGAAGATTGGGGCCTAATGGGACGGCATTCAACATGTAAAAAGGATAAGAATATGGAGGTACAAGGCACAAACATGCACGTCGAATGTTTTAGCAAGGAATAAAGATAAGTGTCAATGAACTACATTGCCCTAACTTACAAAAAGAAATTTTGCAAGGTTAACTACATTCCAGAATTGACAAAGTAAAAAAATAGGAAATGATAACAAAAGTGAAATGCTTTTATTTATAGCCAAATATTCTTCCAAAGTTTGCTCTAAATAAAGTTAAACGTGAACATACAAATACATGCAAGTCAAGCAAACTAGTATTAGAGAACAGCAGAAAAAACGTTAAAGTTAAAAAACTAATTGAGAATAAAAATCAAGGGGATATGGCATCAAAATTATATCAAGATAATAAAGGTTCGAGATAAGTGGTTGGTACTTGTAAAAATAGTCACGAATTCTTGTTTTCCTTCATACATAAGCTAGAGTCCTGAGTAATCCCACAAAAAAATATTGAGAGAAAGTACCAATAAATGAAAGTTGAAATGAGTGATGCTTGCATTTCGCAGTAAGATTCGAATTCACAAAGTCTGCGCGAAAGAATGGAGTAAAATAGAAAGTAAGAAAAATTCTTTAACATGGATATAAATAGTGAAGAAACAATATAAAAGCAAAGTTCACGATCAACATATGAATACAGTGAACAGCCTGTAGTGGGATTAGATAGGCAGTTTAGATGTATACTCACTTTCGGCTGCAGATTTGATGAGGAAAGTTTTATGAGTAATTATGCCTCAGTATCAATAATAATGATTATATATATATATATATATATATGGAAAGAGATAGGATATGTATGGCGCTGGGTCCTGAAGACCAAGTACTAATTTTGATTAATCTCACTGGAACATCGAGTAAACAAGCTTAGAAATAGATGATAATGGTAATGATGTACAAAAGTGTATAGATAGACAGAAAAAGAAGACAATGATAAAGGGGAGGTGGTGAATATAATATAGGAAAAATGTATGGAGCACAAATAAGAAAATACAAGTGAAAGAAATAAATTGAAGAAAATTGACTTTCATAAAAAAGGAAAATGAAAACGAAGATATTCGCCGCAAAAAATCGGAGCTGGATGTGACAGAGGTCAGCAAGCGCAATTAGGCCTAAGTGAACCGTTGTCAGCGGAGAGATTAGCGGCGACAGATGTACCATCACCTAAACCAATTATGCCAGTTCTCGTAGCAGCAGCAGCACCTTTGCTGAGCACACCTCCTTCAGCGCTGTTCAGGTTTACGCTGTATATCGCAGCGGAAGTTAAATAAAAAGAATATCGGCAATATGGTGAAATATATAAATAAGTCAGAGGATCGATATGATGAAAAGATCACGATCAGTGTATACAAGATAATTTCACTCTATTTCTTTAAGGTGACGAAGGACCAGAAGTGGAATTTTCCCACAATAATATGAGTAGACCTTACTTTTCCATCGAATTTCACATACTAATGTATTCTGCAGAGGCCTGCCATCCCACCTGGTTTATAGTTGTAAGGAATAGGATTAATTTACCAGCATGAAAATGACCTTAAACTTGTATCGAAGCCAAGTTAGGCGAACTTGAAGTCGAAGGAAGAGCAAGGAGCAAGCATTGCATTCTTTCCGCCGTAATCAACAAAGCTCAACACATGAAAATCTCTAGGAACATTTGAAAACGGGAAAGATAAAGCATAGTGTCATACCGTAAGACACTCTCTTGGATTCTCGAAGAGTGCTGGAATGGTATAGATTCTCAAATTCTGTAAAAGCTCTCTAGAATCGATGCCAGACAGTGCAAGCAATAATCAAGACAAACAGGAAAACATACGAAATATTAAGATCTTTTGACTGTCAGAAAGTACAAACAAACTTTTGTTGGCTTATACTCGTGAGATGACACAAGTTGACTCATATATCCATGTATTCACCTAATTGTACGCGAAAAAATTATGTTGTGTACCAACCCACAAATGTTGTGGTTCAACATTAAACATAATCAAAGCAAGCAGTACCACAACATTTGTGAGTTGGCACACAAGAGACTAGAGCATAGGAAGTCATAGACTTGGTATTACGGATAGAAACAGGATAGACGCGGCGGACACTAGAGCTAGTTGGCTGACAGTAGACCTGTGTTACCATAGACGTGGTCCATGAAGCAATGGCTTGATCATGAGAACTAGTCAGCGGCTTTAGCCCAAAAGCAGTGTGGTAAATAGCGCCTCGAGTAGCAAAGATGGCGTGGCAGGGTCGAGTGAAATACTTGAACCATGGAAATAGCAGACGGATCCTACGGGGCAAAAGGGAGACTCTAATAAGACCTAGGGAAGGAGAGCTGCGTAATAATATGGCCGACTCTGATCAACATCCCCAGCACAAGGGGTGAGAAAGCCAGTGTAGAGTGTGGAGAGTTCTCATGAAAGCAGCTCAAAAGGGAACATCATACTACATTTAAATGAGCAAATAAAAATTGTGCTTGTGAAGGCGTGATATGATAATATATGAGTGATGATAAGCCCAGGGCGGAAGGAGAGGTACCACGATCGTTTAAGAATGGCAAGACTCACTGACGATACCGGTGAACCGTCTGGAAGTGTACCATGTACACTATCTGGAAATTATCATTCATATAATGGACCTCGGACTAGGTACGTTCCTCTGAGTCTTCCTACCAATATGACCAAGTTGCGAAAATTAGGTCAAACCAACAACAAGGTAA